TTTCGCGGTTGGTTTCGTTCGGATGTTCGGGACCGTATTAAATTATTGGAAAACGAATTTTAACGACGGCGAAAATACGGAACACTTCGATCGGCGAAGTGAAAAATGGTGAGTCTGCTTTTAAATTCTACGCTTTTGGGAATTATATCGACGATTAATTCCCAAATTTCAAGCTTAACGAGTTTCAACCAGTTTTGGTGGAATATTCAAAGTTTTGAAGCATTAATTAATTGGTTTAATATTGCATTGGAGTATCTCGAATTTTCTTCTGTGGAACGTAAATTCTTTTTTTTTTTATTCAAAACTGAGGTTGATGATAATATATGACTGTACTTCTTTCACAGAATTTCAATTTTTTAATTTTTATAAGTTTAAATGAATACGTATTATATAAATATTCCAATTAAGGGAAAGAATTTTTAAAAAATTCCCTAAATCTATAATTAACCTTGTCTGCCTATTATAGTATACTGTAATGAAGTTCCCACTGTATTAAAAATTGTACTTCTCTCACATAATTTCAATTTCTTAGTATTTATAAAAAAAAAGAATTTTAATGTCTTCAATATGGCGACTTTCTATAGGAAAAATTCTCGTGTTACCACTGGAAAAAATTTTAATGGAAGATTCTAGAGGCCAAAATAAGACGAAAATCAAGAATACTAACTTGTTGATGGAGGCTTCGTTAAAAAGTTATTAACCTTTAAAGTTCTGCCGGTACTGAATTTTTTTCTCGAAAGTGGGTAGGATTTCGAGGGTATGTATAATAACCAAAAAGGATTGTAATTGACCCCTGTAACCAAATATAATTTTTTTAGTATGATTCGAAATTTTTTAATTTCGTCTAAAAATTTCAGTACCTACTCTAATTTTTTTCTCGAAAGTGGGTAGGATTTCGAGGGTATGTCTAATGACCAAATATGACTGTAATTGACCCCCATAACCGAAAATAATTTTTTCAGAATAATTTGAAACTTTTCAATTTCGTCTAAAAATTTCAGTACTTACTCGAATTTTTTTCTAGAAAGAGGATGGGATTTCGAGGGTATGTATAATAACCAAAAATGATTGTAATTGAACCCTGTAACTAAATATAATTTTTTTAGTATGATTCGAAATTTTTTTAATTTCGTCTAAAAATTTCAGTACCTACTCTAATTTTTTTCTCGAAACTGGATAGGATTTCGGGGGTATGTGTATTCACCAAAAATGATTGTAATTCAGCCCCCCAACCAAAAATAATTTTCTTAGAATGATTTGAAATTTTTTAATTTAATTTTTTATTAACTTTTTAATGAAGCCTTAGTCAAGAAATTAATATTCTTGATTTTCATCCTATTTTGACCTCTAGAATCTCCTGAAAAATGTACTTCTCTCACACAATTCCAATTTCTCAATATTTATAAATTTGCTACAGTAAAAACATATTATATAAATATTTCAATTAAAAAAAAGAATTTCAAAAAATTTCTCTAAATCCTAATAATTAACCAGTCTTGTCTGCCTATTATTTACAGTAATTGACCTTTCACTGTATTAAAAAAAATTCCACCATTTTCTCACAATGTGCTAAATTTAGAATAATCAAACAAGCCAACGAATTAGAAGATCTTGCCTGTTAAGGGTTAACATTTGTCGTCTGCGTGTTTGGGGCATTTTTTCCGGCCTGAACGATAATATTTATTCCGTGGAAAAAAGGGACGTTCGCAGGCCTCCATTTCGGATAACAAACCGAGAAGGAAAAGAAAGAACAAAGGGTACGGGACGGCGGCGTGACTCCGTACTCGGAAGGAGGGCCCCGTTTATTTGAATTTTCGCGGTAGTAGTGTCGTTTAAAGCAAAGAAGTCGTCTGTTTATTGTTTCTCGATCGTTTCACTTCTGTTGTCGCATCTCGGGGATTACCGTCGACCCGTTTCGATCGGTACGAACACGCTTTTAAAGAGCAACGGGAGAAAAAGTCGCGCTTAACCCACGGGGATCTTTTGTCCGACTTATGGCCTTTTCACCGTACCTTTACGACCCAGACGGCGAAAACGTGAAAGAGCATTTTCTACCCTCCCCCATGAGTCACTTCTTACGCGGTAATTCTACGTATCTGAATAGTAGGGGGAGGGATCGGGAGAAATTGAGGAAAAGTGGAGCAGTTTTCCGTTCTCTCGATTTACAGTCGTTTAAAATAATTGGATGAAACGGTTGGAGGGCGGTTTGCTTCAAATATCTTTTTTTTTCGTTAATTTTAATACCCCTTAAACCATCGTACAAAATTCTTAACCCTTTTGGACTCACGTTACAGTGTAAAAAACGAATTATTAATTATAATAGTATATATTTTCCTATCAAGAATTATGGACAGCTAAGGGTTGAAAAGATATTTTTCTTTTTAAACTGTTAATAAAGAATTTCCTCTCAAGCTGGATTTTGAGTGAAAGTTCGTCTTTTAAACACTCCAATATTTGTTTCGATTTTTTTGAATTAGGACATAAATATTAATATATTGAAAAATACTTCCACGTGCAAATCAAGTAACCTATACTTCCGTTGTATAAAGGGTTCCGGTACTGGCGACGAAAGGTGGGTTTTACGCAACGACCCTAATCGTAAACGCCAATTGTTATCACCCGATCGAACACCTACCCCGTGGCCCAAATCAGGACTCCGCCCTCGCGAAGTTTTATCGTGGGATTTCAAGGACAGATTTGGGGAAATTTTATTCACCAATAACGAACACAAATTTTAGATCCCTTTATAAATAAAGTTTATTCGTAAATCAGAATTTTAAAGTAATTTCTTTTCTGTATCTTTGGACACAATAATAAATAATATATCTGCTTGAAAAATATATCAAAATATACATAAACATGTGTACAAATTTTAAAATTTATGAGTCTAATACTTTTGTTAAAATTAATATACAAACTTGTATTTTCATTGTCTTCAAATCACCCCCTTAACTAAACAGAGTATTTTGATTTAACAAAGGAACAGAATTAGCTCGGTAAATAAAAATAGTTTACCAAAGGGAAAGAAGTCGCGTTAATTAGCGAGTTCCTGCAATTATCAACACTGATATCAAACTTCGCCGGCTGGTCTGTAATTACGAAATCAGAAACTGAAAGTTTATAAAAAAGTACGAGAGCCTTCGGTTGGAAAAGTTCCACTGGGCAACGAGTACAGAGATTCTGTTCTCTGTCGTGCAGCCGCCACCGTGGCGTCTGTTTTCTGACTCATGCCATCAGGGTTCTGACTTCAGCGAACCTCATGCTCGAGAATCGATAACAGTGAAATCAACCTCGCCGGAAGTCCTTGACCTAGGTCACGCGTTCGAGTACACCGATATCGATACACCCATTAAGCGCCTAATGGATCATGAGCAAGAATTTCCCAAAGATTTATTCCACATTACGTGATTCGTCAGCAATTATAATTATGTTAAATTGTAATTAACGATCGTCGATTACTCTGTAAACTTGGTACTATTTTCATGGGTTCGTATTAAAATTTTAGGGGTGAGAACTACCCTCAAAGTTGTGGACGTAACATTTATTTAGTTACAAAAAACTAGTGGAAATAGAAAAATAAATATGATTAGTTTTTATGGTGCATAAAAATTGAAATCTTTTTTAAATGTCTAATTTTTATAAATATCTGATTAGTTACAGTGACATAGAGTACCGGTGATATAGTGACAATTTTATAGAGTCCTTATGGTTGTTCTTTGGGAAGCATACTTCAAGTTTTTCGCTGTCTCTATTAATTTTTGAGATGATAAACCCTCTGCAATAACCCTGCGTGACTCATAGCTATTACACTACCATCCAAAAGTTCAATCTCACCGAAATAACGCTGGTCGTCACAAGTATATATTCGTATTTTTTAATATTATGATTCATAGAATATTCTTAGTTGTACAGGAGCTTGTAGGTAATAATTAATTATTAATATAAAATATTGTTCATTAACAAGCTACCTTTGTCAACGTTTCGATTCTATCTACAGAGTAAATTATGAATTATTTTATGAAACATAGAATATATAAAGTTTTAAAAATTCGAGAGAAATGGAAGGACCAAAAGTAATAATATCAAATAGAAAATTGTCACTTTGATTATCTTGAAACTGTCTACTGGACTGTAATTTACTTTTGAGACTTTCAAACAACATTACCATTTTAATCTGTTCGAAAAGTTGTTGACATTGTAGGAGACTTACGTCCATAGGTGCAATTATACTTATGGACACAGTGTACCTTAAACATGTAACTTTTTACCATCACGTGCCATTATCCAAACAAGTTAACCGATATTCGATTCAAAACTTTGAGGGTAGTTTTCACTCATTGAATGTGCAGTAATTTTAACAGTAATTTTTTAGTGCTCTATCTCAGTGTCAGATTTCATCAAAATTGAATATTCTTAATAGACTGATGTTCCTTTTATAATTTTTTAGGGTAAAACTAATTGATCCATTTCTCTGATAATTTTTCTTAATACCTTCGTACTGTCTTAGCGAAGATGACTCGAACTCTCAGTCGAAACGTTTATTAAATAATAGTTTTTTGCTTATGGAAGACTGAAAAATCAAGGTTTTCTTATTTTAGAATATATTCCATTTTATTCTCAACCCTTTGCATTCCATTGGCACAGCTATGGCCACGAACATAATATATGGCATATTCAAGTTTCATTTATGATAACACAAATTGAATTTAACAAATATACGAATGAAATTTAAATTCTAGGTATTTAAAACAATTTTTTTCTATTTTTAGAAGTCACATCCCAAAATTGCATTTATCATTGTTAGTTATTAATATCATAACTCGACCAGGACAGTTCAAATAGACTCTGTTTTTTAAGGTCCTACAGTGTGTTCTAAAATCATATAAAAATATTGAAATTTAACCCTTTTAGTAGACCATTGAGTTTTGATAATCACACTTTTTAAATTTTTATAAATGTTTTTTTTTAACGCGTTGGAATTGAATTGTCTGCCAAAACAGAGGGTGCCGGGTGGTGGCGGCGTGATTGTGGGGGGTGGCGGTAGTTCGGCCACCCCCCAAGGTGCACAACAGGCCAGCAACCTGGTGTACCGCGTGGTGAGCTCGAGGCATCCTGGCGGCGGTCATCATCCGCACGTGAAGAAGTCGGACAGCTCGCAGCAGACGGACAACTCGGCGTTCAAGCATCAGCAACAGCAACAGCAGGGCTCGAACAGCTCGGCGAACAGCAGCTCGAACAGCCAGCAATGGAAGAAATACATCGAGGCTGGAGCTGCGAGGGATCGGGAGAGAGACAAGGAGGGTGCACCCCCGAGTCCTAGTCCCTCCAGGCGATCCCAGGTAAACATTATAGTTTCGTCCCTTCTTGAGAGTCGTCGGTCTTCTGGGCAATATTGATCTTTCAGATGGGCTGTTTAGCTAGCTCCACTCTTTCGTGGCGCAAGAATTTCAATTTGGGACCTGTCTTGCGCTAGCAAGGCCCATAGGTCCCCATTTTCATTTTATAATACACGAGAGTCGTTGAACTTTTATATTATTCTTTTTTCCCGGAAATTCTAAAAATTTAAACCTCAAAAAATATATATTTACATTAGGAAATGTACTTATTATTTTAAGGAATATAAATATTGCTCTAAAAAAATTAATTAAAAGAGAAGAAAATGGTGGTTGAATCTCATGATGACCTGGAAATAGTTAGGAAACGTAGTTATTTAGTATATGCACTGAAATGTATTATTATAAAATTACATATATTTTTTTGTATAGTGTCTTCTCATATTTTGTCAGTGTAGATGATTTCTGCTCTCAAAATAACAATTTTTCATTGCTCCTACGTCTTCTATTGCAGACTATTAAAATAGCATTTATGAAAATCTGTTACCCATAATGCTTTCCTTGCCAGTTCATAGAAAATACTAAGCTTGTCAAGCAATTTACTTCAGAAGTTTTCTTTGGCATTGTCACTCCCTCAATCTATTCATATTCTTCATAATACTGTGATTTTGCTTCCAGACCAATGTAATCTTCCCTTTATAATATCCAATTAGAGGAGCTAAATTCTGCACCGACGAAAATCCGCTTTTCCCCCTAACTGGCGCATGTGCCCCGCGACATTTTAATACTGCAAGAAGCTATAAAGAATGCCCTTGCATGTGGTGCTCGCTACGTCTTTCCCCCCATAGATTACGTTTTCATAGTAGTTGTGCATGATTTATGTGAAACGAAATTCTGACCAATTAAAACCAATTAAAACTTTCTTGAAAACTGTACTTTATTCAATTTTAACGTCTACGTCTGGGATTAAGGGGGATTATTATATACTGTCGGTTAATTTTAAGACTCTAACCTGTCAATTTTTTCTTTTTCAATTTTTGAAACTTCTAATCTGATGCTCTTTGTGAGCAATGGTTTTATAAATTAGTCCTCCATTTTGTAGTTTGATGGAGATGTCCAAAAGCAAAAAAAGCTCTACATACCTTACTCATTTAATATTTCGTTTATTATAAAATTATTTTTTTAATTTGGGTAATCTGTACATGTGAAAACAAAATGGTCGTAGGTTTAAAATATATTTGTTTGGGTTGTCGCAGGATAAACATCGGAAACAGGCCATGGCCGAATATGCGAACGGGGAAAAACCTCAGAAAGTGTCATCGGGAACGTCGACCAGCGGCAGCAGCAAAGTTAGGGGAGTGCCGCAGAGTTTTGGATACGTGAAGAGACACAGCGCGGGGACCAGTCCCAGCCCCAACGGGGTCCAAAATGGAGGCAAAGATGCTACGAGAACGGCACAAGTCAGCGCTGTCCCAAGAACAAAGGCAAGCATACGTTCACCTTTTAATTGACCATACAACTCCATTCCCTTAACGTCATTGAATCGAGATATTTATTTTACAATTTTAAATATCAAGGTAATTATTATTCTTTAATATCGTCAAAGACATAATTTTTTTGAATCTTGAAGTCTTCAAAAAAGAAACATAATTTTAAGCCTAGAGAATGTATAAGAAAATTATACAGTTTAAAGTGAATAATTATAATTATTATAATTATTACATTCAAATATTTGTATATTATTAATATTTCATAGTACAAATATTCTTTTCTATTGACTCTACAAAGACATGGGTACTGAATATGAGAAAATATTTCCACTTCAAAGGGTTAAGTTTGATTAAATTATTAAGATACACAATACAAAATTATATAAAGTATCAATGGAGATTTTCTTATCAAAAAAGTATTAACAATTCTCGTGTATAAATAACCATTACCTTGATATTTATGAGCTACAGTACTACCTCGCTTCTTGCACTAACGTTAGGGATACATGAAACAGAATCACTCTCATGGACACGCAAGAAGAGGAGCAGTGTTATTTCCTTGAATTTGACTTCCATAATTTTTGACAGTTATCAAGTAAGGTTGCTTACTTTCTTCAATTCTCTGTTACAGGTTAAAGTGTCAGGTGGTACTCAGACATGCACCACAGAGCTCCAGGCCAATTCCTCCTCGTCGAGTCAAGGGCACCATTACAAGAGCTACAGTCTCACGGGTCCTAGTGCCAGTCAACTGTCACAGTCGGTACGAGATCGCCTTATGCTCGGATCGCAGAGCTTGCCGAAGCCTGGTAGCCCGGAATTCACAGCGTTGTTTGCATCTGCCCATCATCGAGAAAGAGGACCCGGCGCTGGACCAACCAGCACCTCCTTCTCCCCGCGAGTACTCAAACCGTCGGATGGAAGTCTGAGCGACACGTGCAGCAACTATGCAGCGCCCGATCTTCAAGGATATTACACTCCCAATAGTCCGTACACTACGTCCTGGATGAGACACAGCAATACCTATACACCCAGTGGACGTTCTCAAGGTACATTTCTAGTATTTCAACTAGAAAAGGCTATCTACGCACATTAAAAATACTGAAACTTTAGACGCGTGCAGTTTCGAAACTACTAGTGTTTTATTTATAAATGAGGCATCGTTGGAAGCGGCAAAGCTTCCTCTTTGAAAATGGTTTTTGGTTTTTGTCGATCGGACTTTCCGTTTTCGAGATATCGTAATTTATGTAGAAGGGTATTTTTCTGAATTTGACTATCTCTGTCTCCGTCTGACGCATCGGACCTCTTTCTCTCTCGATGCACGTGAGTCGTGACCGAGTGACGTACTACGATCACGTGAGGTGAATGACCTCGCGATGTAAACAAACGCTTTGGAGCGTTATATCTTCGCAACTAGCCACCGCATCGACTTGAAACTAAAATCCTTATATCTCCGGAACTAATTACGCTATCGACTTGTTCGAACGCTCGTTTTAAAGGGCATTCCATCCTCTTCCTAATGATCATATCACCTACTATAATTTTTGCTATCTTCTATGTTTATTTTCACATTTACTTTGACGCTACATACCCAAAGTAGCTTCAGCACTTCCTATTGACCATACGACTGGTGTGCGATAAAAATAGATCATAAATTGTTTATTTAATTGGAAATGAATTTAAATTTGTATACAGGATATTTGCATAATTACTGTGCCATTTTTTCGTAAATAATTGTTTTCTCTGGAATTAACTACAGTATCGAAAGAAAATTTGTTTTCAAGAGCGTTTTATCTTCTATCCGATGAAAATTACTAATTTATTAATACTATTAAAGTACTAACGCATGTTTAGAGGAAAAGTATTGAATATTTTTGTACAGGTTCTTATAATCTTACGAATAAACTTCAAAACACAACTTTCTATATATATAATGCAAAAATTAGAAGTACGTTGCCTCGTAAAAGTGAAAAAGAAAGTCATTTGACCAGTGTTACTAAGAATGGGTACACATGAAGTGCCGGTAGGTTTAGTGTTAATAACAAGAATTTGGGAAATATATTCTAAAATTGAACTCCAGATACTGAAAGTACACATAAATAATGAGTTTCCATTTCGTTCAATTTTCCTCCCAAAGTTCACATCCATATTTATCCTGCTACCAATTTCGTATACAATGCTACTAAAATACACTCTCCAAAACTTTCATTAATCCAATATAAAATAAATTAAAGTGTTGGTGTATAAATTTAACTTAAAAGCAGGAAAGGAATAATTTGAAAGTTCTCTGTTTCATCAAATCCCTGTTGGAAATTGCATATACAAAAACCAGAGCACACGATAGTCCTGAAACTAGATAAACATACGTGAAACATGGACGCCTATTTTCGAGTTAATTCGATGAAGTTCGTGGGTATTGGACAATGTATTTACTCGAGTTTCGTAATTTCAGGAATGGGTTTATGCGAGGCGGACAGCGTGGAGTCGCTGGGTTCCCATCGTGCGAGCTTAACTCATGCTCGTTTGTTGATGCATCAAAGGGACTCGACCGGATCGCCAGCCCCGCCGCGACTGAACAGAAGCAATTCCATTAGGTGAGCCCGTAGCGTAAACGATATATATATTTTTTCTTGCACTAGTTACTTTCACAACCTCATACGAGATCCTTAGAAAGTCATTTGCATACGTCTATATGTATAGATGCATGACTAGAGGATGCAAATGTCTCATCATATTCGTTGAATCGATCAGTTTCAGCTTCTTTCTGATTCTTTATAATTAACCACTGCAATGACATCGATTGCTCGTTTACGGTGAAATAACGCAGATCATTTGATACCGTTCTAGCCATCTGCGGGACAGGACATTCCCAAGGTAGTGAGCAAAATCTAGAATACACATTCGTCGAGCCTGTTTTCAATGCATAAGTATTAAAACGAACAATACCCTCCGGGGTGGTATTAATACCCTACATGTACACACGAGTGACCGTTGTACGCACTTTACACACACACATCCCTGTGTATTTATATATTTCCAAGTCTTATTTACACGTGTATCGATTTTACTCAATAGCGATGTTTTAGTTTACCAGTAATTGGAACGACTTCGATTTTCATCGTATTTCGTATTTTGTATTTTTTCTACTTTGTGACTGGTCTGTGTGCTTATTGTGCGAACGCATGCTCTGTCGCTTCTTCGGTTTTCGTTTCTTTCTTTTTTTCTTTTTTTTACTTTCTTCTATGAACTTAGTTTTTCGCGATACGAAACGTACGTAATTAAGATCGTTTCTGACTTAGACCGTTCTTGGCTTACATTTTTTTGTTCCATGGAAGTACTCTTGCGAATCGTTCGTTAGACTCGTTTCCCTTCGTTGTGCTATTATAGAACTGCACGAGTGTATACACGATCGAGAAGTGGTACTCGGCTTTCAGACGGAACGGAATTTATCTTTTAATTAGGAGCCCCTTCCAGATCGACTAATTACGTATACACTCGGCCAAGTAGATAGACGTGTTCTCGTCGATGTCCTAAACAAACTGAACACTCGGATGCGAAGAGCACTCGTCCCGGTCGAGTCGTCCGTCCGTTTCTCCCGTGAATCGAACGCGACGGACTCCAGTTTTATGGAATAAAGAAATGAAAAAAAACCAACGACGATTCCGATTTCTTCGCATCTCAAGATTTCCGTTTCGCGGAAACGCGTGATTGCGTTCGGGAATTAACTTGTAATTGTCCGATTCGTTCTTCCTTTCCCGAACGCAATCAGGCGCGACATGCTACAACGATGTCTGTGCTTTCTATCGTTTCGAGCGAGATACTTGGGCAAATTCTCTGACGTTTCGACGAGATTTCTTAAGGAGATATTCCCGTTTTTCAGGACGAAAAAATCGATTTTTTAAATGATTATTAAAAGTGTGAAGGCTAGATAATGTTCTAGAACGTTAGCTTTCTAGAAATTATGCTGTTTAAATTAACAAACGATAGCCACGTTCATGCAGTTGAAATCTGAGTTTGATTTAAATCCAACATGGTGACCACTGTCCCCATTTTTCACCGCTTCAAAATTTGATTCGCTATATTATTAATAATAATCGAGAGAAGAATTTTTTCCGAGCTAGAATATTAAGAAATAGCCGTGCAAAAGTTGATCTTTCATAGTTTTTGGTAAAAATATTCTCAAAAAACGATAGCCACAGTAGTTGAAATCTAAGTTTGATTTAAATCCAACATGGCGACCATTGTCCCCATTTTTCGTCGCTTCAAGATTTGATTTACTCTATTATCAATAATAATCGAGAAAAGATTTTTTCCCCAGTATTAACAAATAACCGTGCAAAAGTTGATCTTTCATAGTTTTTGGTAAAAATATTCTCAAAAAACGATAGTCACAGTAGTTGAAATCTAAGTTTGATTTTAATCCAACATGGCGTCCAACTATCCCCATTTTTCGTCGCTTCAAAATTTGATTCGCTTTATTATCAATAATAATCGAGAGAAGACTTTTCCCCTAGCTAGAATATTAACAAATAACCGTGCAAAAGTTGATATTTCATAGTTTTTGATATAAATATTCCCAAAAAATGGTTTGTAACGACTCGAAAAGAGGGAATGCCTCCTTAAGTGTTCGACGACGGCCATCTTCTATCCGTGCACGTTACGCGCTTTTTAATTCTTCGAAGATGCAAACAGTTCTATCAGCGATCGTGGTCGTGCGTGGAATATCAATCAACGATAACAATGGATATTCACGCGAACTTGTGACTCGATCAGGGAACTCTTTGCTGATCTTCGAAGTGACTTACGATGTAGTAGCCAAATATTCTCTACCGATGATTTAGATGGTTGTACCTCTGTTTTCGCAGATCCACGAAAAGCGAAAAAATGTATCCGTCAATGTTAGCTAGAGGAAGCGGGGCCTCGTCTTCCGTCGGCGAGGAGGTCGGAGTCGGGATAGGAATGGGTGTCGGTGTCGAACCCTATTATAGCGTTCCTGTTGGATCTACCGGGTGTACGGGACAGCACTGGTCTCAGCCAACGTCTCCAACGCCCACGCACACTTCGCGACAACCGCCTAATCTTTACCAACACGTGCACAAGGACGACGACAGTAAGTTTTCGTTTCGTTGCGTTTTAAATAACAAAATTTAATTTAATTGCTTGGAATAACGAAATCAGAAACGTTTCCTTTCTTATTACAATATGTATATTAACGAAGATTTAATATGGTTTTATTCTTTCATTTTTTGTTATTTTATTTGTTACTTATGATTGATAAAAAAGGGAACCTTTGTGATTTCTATGTATTTAATAAAAATAATATTCTTGGTTCGAAAGAGCCAAAGTATTACGGCGTTTCGTCCTAGATCCGCTGGAGGATTTTTCAGCAAGGCTTTCCTAGCGGATCCTGCCTTAGACGCGCCTACCAGGTGAAAGCAGTCTCCTATATGTGAAGCTTTTAGGTCAAACACAACGAGAAAAATCTAAATAACAGCCATCTGGTGGCTGAAGCACGTCTAAACGACATAGTCTCCACGGCGAAGAAAATATAAAACTTTAGAAACGAGGATTTTAAAAGGGCCATTTAATGGCGACAAAAGTGGAAATTTGAGAGTTCCCTCGCGAATCTGAGAAAGAAAACTCGAAGGAAGTGAGCAATTTTTATAAATATGACCAACTATTAATTGTACAGTGTGAGACAGAAATATTAGACTAAGTTCATCGTAACAGATTAGTTCAGATAATTTGGAATTAACTATTGAATTTGTGTCTGTACATGCATTTTAGTTTGAAAAATCACGTTTGAAAAATCACGTTTGAAAAATGTTTTATAGATTCTAAAATATTCAACCCATCAAAAGGCAGACTTTTCTTCATTAAAACGAACAAATAATTGCTCACTTTTCTATGGTTAATTTCTTTTCAGATTCGCGTGGAATGCTCGAGCATTCTTTTATCTCGTCAGTGAAACGATGCAGGACTCTTCGATACGAGAATCGCGTTCTTTTATTATTAATAGACAGTTTATTTGCATAATCGAGAAATTACTCGAGATTTCACTTGATGGACGGGGGGAAAAAAGAGGAATCTTTCTCTTCTGCTTTCAGTTCATGGTTCTTCGGTATCTTTGGTATCGACGGCGAGCAGTCTGTACAGTTCAGCCGAGGAGAAACAAGCGCACGAGCTGAGGAAATTACGACGCGAGCTCCTGGACGCCCAAGAAAAAGTCCATTCGTTGACTAGCCAGCTATCGACAAACGTGAGTACATGTTGCGTCGATTAACTTTACCGATAAAGCATTGCCGGGTCGTATATTACGAACTTGCTACCGTTCGGGACCGAGTCATACGTATTTCGTAATTTATGTACCGGTCTGTTAAACTGACGTCACGTTGATACACAATTCCTCGACACGGATCTATCCTGTCGCGGGAGATAGGTCGAGTTATCCGTGCCGCGACAAGGGAATTGGTGCAAATGATTAATCATAATTAATCGAACGGGACGACAATTAGCGTACTTACAAGCTGCTCGTTGCAGGTCGTGCTCTTCTAACGAGCTTGATCCGGCCAAACCTGTTGCGACAATTTTCTATAGAACACCCGACATACCGTCCCCATTATGTCAGAACCACGAATGCGACAACTTTCATTTTTTACAGTAAACATGTGCTTTTTGACCGTTCAATCCCTTTTTTTCTGTTTCTGATTTTATATCGTGAAGATAAAATGTTGACTTTTAGCAATACTGGAATTTTTTAATTTCAGAATTCATCATTTCATTTCTTGCAGTAAACACGTGTTTTTTGACCGTAGAATCCCCTTTTTTCTGTTTCTGATTTTACAGTGATTTTATATCGTGAAGTTAAAATGTTGACTTTTAGCAATACTGGAATTTTTTAATTTCAGGATTTATCATTTCATTTCTTGAAGTAAACACGTGTTTTTTGAGCATTGAATCCCTTTTTTCTGTTTCTGATTTTACGGTGATTTTATATCGTGAAGTTAAAATGTTGACTTTTAGCAATACTGGAATTTTTTAATTTCAGAATTCATCATTTCATTTCTTGCAGTAAACTCGTGTTTTTTGAGCATTGAACCTCTTTTCTTCTGTTTCTGATTTTACAGTGATTATATTCTCGATTCGTGAATATAAAATATTGTTGACTTTTAGCAATACTGTATTTTTTAAATTTCAGAATTCATCATTTCATTTCTAGCAATAAACACGTGTTTTTTGACCGCTGAAACCCTTTTTTTCTGTTTCTGATTTTACGGTGATTTTATATCGTGAAGATAAAATGTTGACTTTTAGCAATACTGTAAGTTTTTAATTTCAGAATTCATCATTTCATTTCTTGCAGTAAACACGTGTTTTTTGAGCATTGAATCCCTTTCTTCTGTTTCTGATTATACAGTGATTATATTCTCGATTCGTGAATATAAAATATTGTTGACTTTTAGCAATACTGTAATTTTTTAATTTCAGAATTGTCATTTCATTTCTTGCACTAAACACGTGTTTTTTTTAACCGTTGAATCCCTTTTTTTCTGTTTCTGATTTTACAGTGATTATATTCTCGATTCGTGAATATAAAATATTGTTGACTTTTAGCAATACTGTAATTTTTTAATTTCAGAATTGTCATTTCATTTCTTGCACTAAACACGTGTTTTTTTTTACCGTTGAATCCCTTTTTTTCTGTTTCTGATTTTACAGTGATTATATTCTCGATTCGTGAATATAAAATATTTGACTTTTAGCAATTTTTTAATTTCTTAATTCATCAATTCTTTTCTTGCAGTAAACACGTGTTTTTTGAGCATTGAATCTCTTTTCTTTTGTTTATGATTTTACAGTGTTTACAGTTGTTATTTGCACTGGTAAATAACGTTCGTAATTTCCATTGTAATTTCTAGCTGAGTTATGGAATTAACGTACGGTAATTTGGATCCTATTTATTTAACGTAACAGTACGTAAAGCAATACGAACGATAATAATTCTTGTACGAGAGATAAAGAGTTTAATGGTCTCGAATGAAAGTTATAAATGTATTATCGATCTGTTTATAAGCAGTAAAACAAATATAATAAAATACTCGTGGAACACCTGTTCGAGAGTACAAATTAAAATTGTGTACACTGTAAAAATTGTATGAGAACGTGTCGAGACAAGTTTAACTGTTTCATAAAATTTAATCATTTGTCTTATGATGGATTACTATATTATTATAGATACGGGCAATAATTTAAACAAAATTAAAATTTGCCCCAGAAATTTTTTCCCAAAATTATGCCACTATTTTCTACGATTAAAAATAATAATAAATCTTATGTACACATAAATCTTATGGACCCACAAATGCTTCCGTAAACGATTATAATAAAAATAATAATAATTGTCTTTATTAGAGTACGGGATAAAAATAGATGGACAATATTTATCTAGTATATTTAGGAAAACTGTGTTTACTTTTAGAGATAGTTGATAGCGATCGGTGTAAACGTCTATCAATCATACTATTGATACTCGAAATCAAAATTTCCATCATTTTTATCTATACAAGACCAACATCGTTGAGGATAGGACCGCCTCGCGCAGATGTGCAGGTTATTCACCGGTAAAAAATGAACAATAAAGCAGCATTCGGATTAATTAATTAAAAATTAAGATTTTGTTCTCAATGTTTTGTTTTTAGAATTTTTATTTTGATTTTCAGAATTTTCTCGAAGCTCAGAATTATTATAAATTATTTACAAACTTTGTTCACGCATCTCGTAGCAATTTTAAAAAGCATCGATTATTGTAAGTGGCCTTCGAGCATGTTAATTCTACGCTTGGGTAACATTTCTCAATGGTTGGGAAACATAATACCTCGCCTAATTCTAGTAAAAATATACCACCGTTATTTGTTTCCCTTTTCCTCGTATTATAGTAACCAGTAGGAAGAATAATATCGAGTATGTCATACAAAAAATAGAAAACTGGTAGCCATCTTGGCGACACCATATTTGATTCTGGTAGAGAATTCAATAATTTATTTTCTATCCAAAAATAACAATATCTGTGAGTATAGTGGTTAATAATGTACTTTATTTTATTATTTTTCAACGTGTATGAACATTTATGGGAAATTGTAGCAACGTGGAGGAGTTTTTATCGAGATAATACTATATTTTGGTTATTGAGAACTGGTAGCCATCTTGACGATGCCATATTTGATTCTGGTAGAGAATTTAATAATTTATTTTCTATCCAAAAATAACAATATCTGTAAGTATAGTGGTTAACAATGTACTTTATTTTATTATTTTTCAACGTGTATGAACATTTATGCGAAATTGTAGCAACGTGGACAAGTTTTTATCGAGACAATATTATATTTTGTTTATTGAAAGCTGGTAGCCATCTTGGTGACGCCATATTTGATTCTGATAGAAAGTTCAATAATTTCTTTTCTATTCAAAAATAACAATATTTGTGAGTATAGTGGTTAACAATGCACTTTATTTTATTGTTTTTCAACGTCTATGAACGTTTATGGGAAATTGTAGCAACGTGGAGAAGTTTTTATCGAGATAATACTATATTTTGGTTATTGAGAACTGGTAGCCATCTTGGCGACGCCATATTTGATTCTGGTAGAGAATTCAATAATTTCTTTTCTATTCAAAAACAGTATCTGTGAGTATAGTGGTTAACAATGTACTTTATATTATTATTTTTCAACGTGTATAAACATTTACATAAAATTGAAATAACGTGGAACAGTTTTTCTCAAAACAATCCTATATTTTATACAGTATTTAATAATTTTATTAGTGTCTAACAAAATTCCAAATTTCATTATTTTTCAACGTGTATAAACAGTTACATAAAATTGAAATAACATAAAAAAAATTATTCTCAAAATAATCCTATATTTTATACAGTAATAGTTTTATTATAACAACTAACAATGTATTTTATTTCGTTATTTTTCGACGTGAGCATGCATTTACATAAAATTGAAATAACGTGAAAAAATTATTCTCAAAACAATCCTATATTTTATACAGTAATAGTTTTATTATAACAACAAACAATGTATTTTATTTCGTTATTCTTAACATGCTATTTGTTATTATAACATGTTATTTTTAACGTGAACATGCATTCTCATGAAATTTAAATAACGTGGAAAAGCTATTCTCAAAACAATCCTATATCTTACACAATATTTAATAGTTTTATTACAGTGTCTAACAAAGTACCAAATTTCATTATTTTTCAACGTGTACGAACATTTACATAAAATTGAAATAACCTGAAATAATTATTCTCAAAACAATCATGTATTTTATATACTGACTAATAGTTTTATTATAACAACCAACAGTACATTTTATTTCACTATTTTTCAACGTGAACATGCATTTTCACGAAGCTGAAGTAACGTGGAAAAGTTTCATTCGAGCTAACCCAGTATTTCGAACGTCTAGAAAGGTGTTAAAAAGATCGAGGGACGCGTTAATGAAATTTCGAACGACCCGCGTTGCTCCGAGGCCGCGGTTAGCGTCCGTGCAGCTGATTGGCTGTTCAACAAGGAAGATCTGCGGCGCGAGCCAATCAGACGCGACGCCGCCACTCTGGCATCTTGGATCGCCGTGGCGTGGATCGGTACTCGGTTTACGTTCAGTTTGTGCCGAGACGCGCTACTTCGAACATCGCGCGTCCCCTAATCGTCGTTTCGTGCACGCGAGACGTACGTACGCTTCGTTGTGTTTATCCGTCGATGTTTTGGCGGGCAACGATCGCGATCTACCGCGTACCCAGTGTGACAAAAGTGCGAGGACGAGTTGTTCACCGCGGTAAAATCGATTGTTCGTCGTGGTACGCGTAGTCAGTGATGATCGTCCGAATCGATCGCGCGATCGATGAGCCCGAAACGTGATCTTCCGATGCGGCGGACTGGCTGAAAGAAAAGTAATTGAAATGGAGTCGTTTGTCTGGTTTGATTTTTATCGATCCCGAGCGGTCGACTCGATCGCTTTACGTCGATAACTTATCGTCGGGCGACCTTTCTCTTTGTAAACGTTTTATCGTGGATTACGCGTTACGTTCGTAATACTTCCTGGGTTTGTTTACCATTATGTCGGTTATCTTCTACGTGACAAAATAGAAAGCAGACAGAGAAAAGGACCTAACCCTACAACGATGTTTATCAAATTTACCCTGTGGAATGATTTTGTGAATGATTCAGCAAAGGGGGGTGAGAG